ATGGACCTCTTTCCGGAAATTCCTAATCCAGACTTGTATTCACTTGGACTTCCCACGGCAGATACTTCCAAATATTCGTAGATAAACGTACCTACTAGGACTTGAACCTGAAACCTGCTTATGGAGGGTTGGGTGCCTAGACCACTAGGCCGCGGGATCCCAACCCTTATAGAATAATTAATTAGCAAGTTAAAAATATATAAAAAGTTATTAAAAATAAAAAAGTTTATCTTATAGTCCTGCAAAAATAATTAGAAAAACAAAAGTTTGCTATCCAAAAAAACTTTTTAGTAGTTGATAAATAGAACACAAAAAAAAAAAATTGCTCAAATATAGTATATTTATGCTTTTAGTAAAGTATATATCATTTATTTGTTTTTAATAAATAGTCTTTATAGAAGTTAGTACTAAGCAAAAGCGAGTATTAATTTCTGGCATTACTAAGTATGAAATTTGCCAAAAGCTTTCCAAACCAAACCCACCTAAACAAAAAGATCTTGAGCTAAATATCATATATCTACTTAAGCAATTTCAGATATATGGAAAAAGTGAAATAAATGGTTGTATCTTGATGACAATAACTATGATGCACAACTAAAAAAATTGCAATCACTAGGATATCCACTTATTGAGAAAGTTATGAAAAAATGGCTGCAATATGCATTTGCACAACAATTAACTCTAACTGATGAAATTTTTATAGAAAAGACAAAACGATTTGCATCTAATATTGGTGATAAACAGTTTTATGGATCAAATAAATAATTAGCTCAATTTAAAGCATAAAATGGTATAAAAATGTATAAAAGAATTGGTGAAGATGGTAGTGCTCTATCAGTAGATAAACTTAATACAGACTGAAATAAGTTACAAAGAATTATAGCTGAGTATTCTTTAGAAGATATTTGGAATGCTAATGAAACAGGTCTTTATTGGAGACAAGAACTAATAAAATCTCTTAGTAATATGCATCAACCAGAACAAAAACTTTCTAAAGAGCATATTACTTGCCTTATTGCTTGTAATGCTATGGATACTCAAAAACTTAAATTAGCATTTATACATAAATACAAAACACTATGTGCACTTTGAAATATTAATTTAAATAATCTTTCAGTTTTTTATTTTTGAAATAAAACATGTTGGATGCAGGTATATTTTGCTTATTTAACTTTTGAATATAATTTAATAATGATAAATTAATTAATTTTTAATTTTATATAAAGGTTTCTATTTGGACAAGAATTTTAAAAGAATGAGATAAACAGCTATATCGATATAATAAGAAAATTCTTCTTATTGATAATACACCAGTATATATACTTGAAGAAGGTGTTAATCTTACCAATATTTGTATTAAATTTTTACTTTTCAATTCAACTACTCATTTACAACCATGTGAACAAGGAATTATCTATTCATTTAAATATTTTTACAAAAAAGGCTTTATTAAAAATAGAGTTGATGTATACGATTTAATTTATAACCAACAAGATACAAATTTAACAATACCTGAATTTTCTATTCTTGATGTGATTTATCTAGTAGCTAATACTTGGAATAGCATAACACCAAATACAATTGTTAATTGTTGAAAATAAACTAGTATTCTCCTTGCTACTGGAAATAGTAATGATGATATATTTGAATTTGACAATTTTGAAAATGAGGATAATTAAATACAAAATATAGATGAAATAATTTCTAATCTCCTATTATATAATTTACTTAGTACTAATTAATACTTACATTTTGATGAAGTTTTACTAATTAAAGATTTTTCAGCTGATTCAGTTTTAATTCAGCAAATATGCAATGAAGATAACAATGAAAATGTTCAATCTAATACTGATGATAACTATTCAAGTGAACCGCCAAAAGTTTTTTCTTTACAAGAAACTAATTTTGCCAAAAATTTGGTCAGCTTTCTTTTACAGCAAGATGATGGCTTTGGTGTATCTGTACAAGATTTGAAAGTAATTAGATGAGTAAGTGAAACTATTAGATATAAAGAGTTTGCTACTAGGCATCAAATATCATTAGAATACTTTTTTAATCATGCTTAGATTTTTTTTTTTTTTATTAAAAGATAACTCTTTTAAGTTTTTTTTTTTTTTTTATTAAAATTATATGAGATTAAAAATTAATTTTTATATTATATTTTTGTTAGAGTTTTCTTTTTCATTTTTTATTTTTCAATTATTATATGCTTAGTTAAAAAAGCAATTAAACCAAATATTTTATGAAGCTTTAATATTTTATAAGTTTTTGCTATAATGTATTAATATATTTTCAATAATTATTATTATTTTTATACTTATATAAACTTTATCTAATAGTTTTATTTCATGCATACAATATAAATTACTTAATAAGCTATCTTCACAAAATTACTAAAATCAAAATTGCCATATAATCGGTTAACTATAGCTTAATCAAAACTTTAATATAATTATCAAAATATAAAGTTAGTTTCTTGTTAATAGTACTAGAAATGTGTTAATACTTTGAATAAACTTAGCTAGTAATTTCAATTTATTCTTTCTATTTTTACTAGAAAACTAAATATTGATTAAATGATTTTTGTGCTCTTAGCATAAATGCTATAATCATTTTTTTTATATTTACTATTGTCAAAATACTATTGTATATATTATTTAGCTGCTTTTTTTAATTACTTACAACCCAGTACAAATAAATACTATTAATAATAACTAATTAATTAATTTTTTATTGTTATAACCTTTAAGTTTGATCATATTTTATTTTGTATATATAATTGTTCCTGATTTTATACTATGTTTTCTTACTAGATATAAGAATTAAATCTAAATAACTAAATATTCATAATTGAAATCAAACTACACTAATTGTATGCTTCATAAATATATTTTCTAGCATAAAATATTATCAACTTGTTATATCAAATTCTATATAAACTTACTAGTAAAACTGCTATTACACTATAACGAATCATCCTTATATATATTAGTAAATCCATAATAATGTGATAATGGATTTTTATTATAACAGATAGAATTTCCCAGCCCAAAGGGTTCATTATAATGAGGGTAGAGTATATTATTCAATGATTTGAAGATACTCAAAGTTGGGTTAAGCAAATATCATGAAATGTAATAACTAACTATAAGATAAATAGTAATTAATATAGCTATATTGGGCTATATAAGGTTTGGTATATTTTACTCAAGATAGTTAATAGAGTTCTGAGAACTGAAACACTGCAAGAGTAAAGATCTAGAATATCTGCAATAGGTGATGACTAATTAGAAAATTATAGCTTGAGATACAGATTGGGTTATAGCAGTACCTTAAAAGATAGCTTAAGATACGAACTTGGTAATAATAACATAACAAATAATAGTTAGAAAAAAGTTACCAATAATGTACTAAAAATCCTTGTAAAAAATACTGTATAATATATATGTTCCACTAAAATAAGTAATAAAGAAGCAGTGTTTATTAAAAAAAATAAAATAAAATAACTTAATACTTATATATTTTTTAAGAAAATATTTAAGCTAAGCTTAAATTTAAATAACTATTTTGAAACAACTTTATTCTAAAATAGGCTTTATATTGAATATTTTTTTTAAAAAACTCTTTAAATTTCAAGTTAAAGCAGATTTCAGAGTAGCAAGATTAATAAAAAACTTTAAAGCAAGAAAAGAAGATACAATTAGAATAAATTGTAAAAAGATTTTAAGATGAAATTAGAAATAAGATATAAGTTTACCAAGTTAAGTAGAAAAATAGCTTTTTGAATTAAGGGTAGGGAGTACTATTTTAAAATTATATATAAACTTAATAGTAAATTTTTTTATTTTTTTTTTATTTTATTTTTTTTTAATATTAAGGTGACCACTTAGGCCCCTGGCACTTTATTAGTTCAAACAGGTGGGCTGTCCGAAGACAG